CTTCTCATCAATCCTGATTCTGCCAAGCTAGGCAGCAAGTGGTCATTTAAAATGTCCACATACTGCTCAGCATTCATCTTCCCCTCAACCTCAGCAAGCATTCCCACACCATTCCATCCCATACAGCCCCATACCATTAAGAACCTCCTCCAAACTTGACAGTCCCATTAACCTCTCTGTCTGTTAGGCCATCTCCCTTCTTTTTCCATACATACACCTTCCCATCTGACCCAATCCTATTGATTTTGGTCTCATCTGACCATATAACATGCTTCCAGTCCTCTACAGTCCAGTGTTGATGAGCTAAGGCAAAGGCTAGTCTTCTCTGCCTATGTTTGATGGAGAGAAGAGGCTTTTTCTTCTTTGTTACTGCCTTGAGATGAGCTGCCTTGAGAAACATTCCTCACAGTTTGTGAAGAGACAGGGGTAGTGATTGGTGGAATTTGATATAATGGGTGGCTTGGACAGCATTATCAGCCTTTCCTGTAGTGATATGTTGGATAATAAGCCCTTTTGTCAGTAGAGGTAAGCTTGGATGGACGTCCTCCACAAGAGTTTTCCTTGTCTGGGTGGCTTTCTTTGATGAACTTGGCCACAGTGGACTTGCATATTCCAGTTCTAGAGGAAATTTGGCGAGCAGAGAGGCCAGCATAAAGACAGAGAGAGGATATTATCTCTTTGAGCAGAGGAGATGGCTTTCATTGTGATTATGACTATGATACATGAGATATTCTGGTTTATATAGTTAGATATAGTCATAAAATAACATAATGACACCCTTTATAATTTATATAATAGTGGCATGATTTTTATGGTGTCATAAATAATGATTTATATAGTTTAATATAACTCAAAAAACTGTCCCACATGAGGTCATCATTTATAAAGCCTTATATCTCCACCCATATTCTCCGCCGATTCCCACGGTGTAGGGCTCAAATAAAAGCCCTGAAGCCATACTACAATGTGGTATAAGTATGGTCCTTGAGGAATTGGTTCATTCTACACAATATCATAGATAGTGAAAAATGTCAAAACATGCGGACAGTTTTTTGAGCCACTGTACCTCTTGATTTCTTGCGCCCCGCCCGCTTCAATGAATGGCCAAGATCTCTAGCGAAATGATTTCAGCCATTGCGCCACCAGGAGTAGCATATGAGAGTTTGGACCATCTCTGGTATTCAGTTGAATACGATCCGTGGTGGGCTGAATATCCAATGGGACCCGTGAGCCTCGCTGGTATTGGTGATGCCGCCGGCCCCTGCCAAGACGTGGGAACAGCTACATCAGGACCAGTTGTACGGTCGCAAGGCAGAGGGACAGGCGGTGGGGCCCATAGAGGTATTGGTCCAGTCAGGGATTGCCACCACACGAGGCGGATTGACACTCGCTGTCAGTCATGGTTAGAATCAGCTCGCGTCCTATCAAAGATTGGAACAACTTACATTTCCATTGGGAAGCATTCACTGACTGCCGAATGGCCTTAGGATCAGGCCATCGCTGACTTGCTGGAGACGACGGATGTTGTCGCAAGGCAGGCTGTGATGCTAATACAAATATGTCAGTAAATAACATCGAGAAAATCGTTATCGACTCACTGGTGGGTTTCTGAGATGTTACGGACCTCATTTCATATCGTGCATAGCATGGTGCACATACATTGCGCCCAGATCTGCCAGGTTGCATTGTAGCCACGTAAAAACAAGGCTGGCCTTTTGTGATCTGGGCACGACAACTCGGGCATTCACAGATTCGGTCTTCGGCGGCAAGGGCATCTTCCATAAATTGACAGACAACGCTGTTCGGGTTCGCCATATGAACTAGAGTGGTCTGAGTGAGTGCGAGTCCGAGTGCGCTGCTAGTGTGAGTGTGTCGCTGCAATGCCTTAAATATGACAAAAAACCAAGTTAATAATTTAGCTATGTATATGCATGAGAAAACAAACCAAAGGAGCAAGACCAATAACAATGTGCAGAGAGTGGCGCTGCAGAGAGATCAGTTGTCATTTATGCGCTTGAATATGCATATTGAAACATACCAAAGATCCGGAACAATGTTCACCGGAAGTTGCGCTGCAGAGAGCTGCAGAGAGATCAGTTACAGTACATTGTATGTACTTATTAGAAACATTGCTAGCACTATTGGTGTTTGGAGTCGCGTTAGATGGAGGTGCGCTATTGGTGTTTGGAGATGCGTTAGACGAAGATGTGTTGGAAACGTTGTTAGCACTATTGGTGTTTGGAGATGCGTTAGACGAAGATGTGTTGGAACCCACTTCCCCCGTCGGTACTGGCACTATTGGTGTTTGGAGACGTGTTAGATGAAGATGTGTTGGAACCCACTTCCCTGTCGGTACTGGTCGACTCCAGAAAATGGTAGCACTATTGGTGTTTGGAGATGCGTTAGAACAAAGATGTGTTGGAACCCACTTCCCCGTCGGTACTGGCACTATTGGTGTTTGGAGACGCGTTAACGCCTTGTTTGTGCCACTGCCAATGCCAGCCATACTGGAAGTGGAAGTTGCGCTGCAGAGAACTGCAGGAGAGATCAGTTGTAGTACACTGTATATACAATTTTACGATACCAATGATGATGTGCAGAGAGTTGCACTGCGGAGCGATGATCAGTAGTGTATGCATTGTATATAGTACTAGAACATACCAATTGAAGAGGTCCCATTCTATATACGACCTTACAACCCCCAGAATGTCGTCCACTGGTGGTTTTGCGGTGAGTTGAGCAGTCACAATGTCCTCGGACTACTGAAAGTGGGCAGAGTGCTTTCATAGTGGTCTGATGCCAAGACATGCTCCTAGGTAGTGCGGCAGCACTGCGGCTCGTGTCTCCGATGCTCTCCGAAGTTTATGGCACAGTACGTTTTAAGGTGGGCAGTGCGACTCATATCTCTGAGTATTAAATACCGCGAATGCATCTCACTGAAGCTACCAGTAGCTACACCATCACTAGTACTACCTTGCACAATGCCTAACCAATGGAAACCTACGCGTACGTCTGCTCTGCTCTTGTTTTGAATTGACACCCCTAATTCGCATCCAATTAGCACCGTTGGACGTAATTGAGCCACACATCCTTCGCCTTTGGAAGGCACGCCAGACCGATAGGCAAATTGTCGCGGAATTGCAAAAACATTTCGATACATCATGCTATGGTCTCGGGTGAGTTGATAATCTTCTTTCAATTACAACTATATTCTGACGACGTGCTTAGGCTTACAAAATTTCTCAAGATTCGTGAAGGCATGGGTCTTCGAAGAACGCGCCAGCAAAATCATAACATTGAGACTATCCATGACGCTATGACTCATTTACGTCCGATGTATCCAAATGCCGGAGCGCGTGAAGTTGTAAGCTTGCTATTTCATGAATGGAACATGAGTGTACCCAGGTGATCTTTTCGTTTATTCATGTATCCTTGTTGTACCTTAATTGATGACTGCTTATATTACAGGAGTATTGTGATATCCTATTTCCGTACATACGAACCAGAGCTCGTTCGCCAGTGGAAGGCCAATCGCCTTCGCAGGAAGCGATTTTGGGCTGCAGGTGTGAATGATTTATTTGCCGTTGACCAACACGACAAGTGGCTAAGGTACGGTCTTGGCCTCCATACTGGCATCGAGCCATTCTCAGGGCGCATTATGTGGATGAGAGTCTGGCACTCGAACCGGAACCCACAGCTGATCCTTAGTTATTATCTTGACACACTCGGGACACTAGGGCGTAAGTCATTTTTTCTGTGTCTTGTTAACATAGCGCTGATTTACCTCTACCTACCAGACATGCCTATGGTGACCCAGAGCAACCCTGGGTCTGAAAACTATGGAATCGCTAACGCTCACACTATGCTACGTCAGTGGCACGATCCTGCCTTGCAGGGTAGCCTACAACACCACTGGATGAGGACGAAGAAAAACGTTATGCCGGAGATAACGTGGTCACAGATGCGGCGTTGTTTCACGCCTGGATTCGAGACACTTCTCAACCATGGTGTCACTTCCGGTTGGTATGATACCAACAACACTCTCCAACATCAGCAAACCCAGGGTCCTCTGTACAACCCTGGACAGTGCTGGACAGAGCCACAGAGCCCACAGAGAGGGTTCTCTCTGTGCAGCTCTGTACAGAGTCGTACAGTGTAATGTATGATACTGTACAGAGCTGCACAGAGCGGTACAGAGTGTTAGCTACACTGAGCAAAACAATACAGAGCATTGGGTAGGCCAGACAGGAATACTGCAGAATGCTCACAGCATCACTACAGAAAGTGCACAGTAATTGAAACCAAACAAATCATGATGTCATTGCGTCATACTACAATCAGGTATCCTACAAAAATGCTAAAAACACGATCAGTCCAGTTGGAGTTTCAAGCCCCAGTCATGGCGCCTGTTTGGATCATTGCGAGTCAGGATTCTGCATAGCCGTCAGAAAATGATACAAATGATAAAAAAAGCTTCACAATACCCTGCAGTACGAGCCCATTTCTTTCTGGCGGCCCGGCATTTCTTTGCATGATAGTGGTCCTTCTGCACATCATGGTAGAGCTGAATGACGCTGTCGTAGATGGGTTGATATAAATCGGCGACGAATTTCATTTGCTTGTAAGTACCGGTCTTGTACTCGTCGATAGCGGCAGCAAGCTAGTTAGAGATGAATGAGCGAAGACGATTATCCGAGCCTGAGATCACATACCGCAGTCGCTGCAAGTGCAACGGCACCTTCGGGGACAGCAACGGCGAACAAGTCTGGAAATGACTTCGCGAGCGCGTTCTCACCCTTGTAAAAATAGGACATACAAAAGCTGCCCAGGGCCTCGTTTGCAAGATTATTGGTCCTGCCCTAATACACACCTGCGTGAGTCAGTAAGTGCGGGGCTATTTCTCATTAACCTGCCTGTGCATCTACTCCATCCCGTAGGAAAGCACCATTCTGCAACAATGTTTTGACGTTGTCACGCACCTCCCGCTCATAGTCGTTCTCGTCGTCAACATCGGGTGGAAGAATTTCGTAATGTGCCAGAACAATCGGACGCGCAGCCTTTTTCATTTCGGAACGCATAGTAGCGCGATCGTCCCATAGCTAAAATAATTGTTAGCGTGATCCGACAGAGTAAGAACACAAATACCAGGACTGCCATATCAGATTTATATTCATCCCAGTATCCGTCAGTCAACACCAACACCCTGGGATCCAAAGTCTTCGAGTGTTTCTAAGAGATATTCAATACCCTTGGTTTTGAGAAAATCACTGCGCTTTGACGCTGTGCTAGTGAGCAAGCCTAGGCGTGATTTCTTCTTTGCGGCCTCTAGTAAATCCTTCCAAGAAGGAGGATAGAAGCGAATGTTCTGCGCAGTTGCTTTGATCATCCGCGTTCTCTTGCGTGGTACTACAACCTCCTCTTCAGAAGAAGATTGAGCTGAATCTTGAGTAGTAGCGCGACGACGCAAAGTCTCGAGCTCATCCAGGTCAGGCATGCGAGGGCGACAGTTCTTTGCGCGATGGTCTTGGAGGACATCTCGGGCATTGTGTGAGCTGTCGGCGACTCGTGAGCGTGCACGAGTGAATTCATCTGCATAAGGCAAGTGGGCAAGTTCAGTAGCATGATGGACACATGCATGGGATATCTTACCATCGTTGCTATCTTTCGAGGTGTCATGATCCTGGTGGGGGTCGTCAACAAAACTGTCACCATCATCCTGGTCTACACCCAGATTATCAACATCAACATCCTGGTCCGCCTCCCCACTATCACCATCATTGCCATGGTCCACCTGCACGTCATTAGTTCTAGCATCCGAGTTGTCCAGATCAGAATTGTTAGCATCCACATCGTGATCTCGTCCCGAGTCGTAGCCCTCATCGCCATGTAGAGGAGCCTCGGCATCTGAAATATTCATCCGTGATGGACGAGTGTAATCGGATTCCAGGTCAGTGGGCGGATTGCTGTCACTGGTGACGGTGTGTCGAGGGATGTGTTTGGACACCGGTGGTTTACGACTAGCATTACAGTGAGGACGTGGATCGTTGCGTTTCTGTGAATGAGCACCAGCGGGGGTGTGTTCAAGAGGGACAGGTTTGGATGCTGGTAGGGCACGGCTAGTATCTGACTTGGAATGATGACGCAGATTGTCGTGTTTCCGCGAATGGGCGCCAGTGAGGGTGCGTTTGGGCGTGTTAGGCTGGGAGGATCCTGATGGTGTACTGTTGAACCTAGAGAGAGCACGGATGAAATGGCGTTCGGAGGTCGCAGGTGGAGGTGGGACAAAGCCAAACCTTGAGTCGGGACTACGAGGATGCGAAGTGGGCTTGTCCTCAGCAACACGCTGTGGTAAGTTGGAGCTTGAAAGATGTCGTTCAGTCTTCTCATTGCTTGATGTCTTAGTCGCCTTGATTGGTCTTGCCCTTGGTTTGCGTATAGGTGCCTCCGGCGCCATGACATTTACTGGTTGGCTGTCTATCATCTCCTGAGCGGGGTTTTTCTTCACTGGACGTTGTCTATTCATCTGTGAGGACTCGAGCTTTTGAAGTTGGGTGAGGCGTCCACCTTGACCCATGTTACTTCGCTTAGAGCGACGGAGGTCATCTGCAGTGCTACATATCAGTTTTGTTATATAGAAATCAGTGTACTCACCAAGATCAGGTACTATGGTCTTGCGTTTGCCTGCCATCAAACGTTGAACATGAACCCGAAGACAAGAAGTATAACATTCCATGTACTAGTAAGTACTACTTATTTGAAACTCCGCGCTGGTAGTGCGGAAAATGGCGCTGGGGTACTAGGTACAACAAGAAAATAGAACAAAATGGTCATGATGAAAGTGTAGTGAGCAGTGAAAGATATACGTCTACAGGGAGCCAAGTTCCATCCCCCTCACCAAGACCTAGACATTTGAATCATCACTACTCAGTCCAGAGGAAGACTCGGTTCCAGGTGTTGCTAGTTCCGAGGAGGAAACAGTCTCGTCGCTTGTGTCGGAGACGTATGCAGAGCTGATTGAAGATTTGGCGTTCTCTTGGTTGTCCGCCTGGACATGTCCAGAGGATAATGCCCTCCTGATCGAGGGCCTGGTATTCTCATCTGTGGTAGGATTGTCCACACGACGACGTTTCGTACCAGAGAATTGGCGACGGTACCAATCGCAGTAGCGGGCGTGGGCAGTTTCATAAACGGCAACTGACATGGAGGAACTGTCAAGCTCCCAATTGAATGTAAGTGCGCTGGGAGTGAGGAGATGCCTATGATTTACGCTGGGTTCGATTAAGTCAAGGGTGCTGCTCATCGTGGCTTTCACGAGATCCAAGCCATGGTTCAATGCGTCAGTCACATTGTCCATGTCAATATTCGGAAAAAGTGTCTGCAAAGATACTACTTGTCAGCATAAATATTCTTATCATTGCAACATTAGACTCACGCCGTGCGCCGTGGGAGGAGCAGCCAAGTCAATCCGCTGATCCCCAGACTTCACCCACACAAAATAATCGACAGACTCAATATCAATCCACTCATGCCCCATTGCTATTACTGGCCCAAATAACTTGTCGGAAGTGCGTTCAGGTGCGAACTCACTGTAAGTCCGCACCGATCCCTCTTCACGTGTCTGATTCCAAGTAACGGAGTTTGCTGCGGGGGAGGCATATTTCTTCCTTTCTTTGACCAAGATCATAAGAATGAGGAGGAGCTCTTCGTGCGATAGAAGAGTATCCTCCATTTTCGTCATGATGGCAACCCGAGACTGAGTGAATCCAGATTCGGCCATCCAGAGAAGTTGCGTCTCAGCGGCTGTCGTGGTTGTGGGTTTCATGGTCACCTGCATGTCGGGTATAGTGAAGAGGTGTTCGGAGTACATCCGACTATTGGTTAAGACGGAGGTCTTCAAGAGGGTTCGGTTGTACTGAATGCTGTGAAGAGCATGTGAGATCGTGAACGACATCTCAGATGTTGTTTTCTTCATGGACAGGGAGCGGAGAGTATATGATGAGAATCATCCTGTGAGGAAAATATGACATCCTACAACAACATCGACATAAGAAAAATGTTTGACTGAATTTATATATGACGTACTTTGTGTGATAGTTAGAAAATGTGAGAGCGTCCATGTGCTCCAAAACACGGGCATGATTTTCGGCAGAGACATTGATAAAGCATACAGGTTCCACCCATACCTGCCGAAGAGCATCTACGAGTTGCTCGTGGCACCCATCTAGTAGCGAACTATGAGAAACAATAATATTTAGTTGACCAGCACCCTTACCTGGGTTTGCAGCGATAACATGTGTGATACCCAAAACCTGATCATGCACGACTGCAGTGTCGGCTTCGGACTTGGCGGTTGCTACAGTTTCAGTCTCTGGCACCACTGCTGGGGTGTTTGATGATTTACCTATAAATATGTAAAGTAAGCAATCTATGCTGAGATTAAGCGATCCGTCAGCATACAAGTCACATCTGCAGAACGCGGGGTCTCTGTCTTAGGGCCACGTCGTTTTGATCTGTTGGAGATCCATGAAGATGTCGTGGATAACACTGGCATCCCTGGAGTTGTTGGTTCGTTTTTCGTATCGGATCCGGGTTTTTTGCCTCTGGAGTTACGAGCTGTATAGTAGTATGCATCTCCTCCAAAGTCTCCAAAGACCGCAGCCATTAAAAGACTTCAAGGAACAAAGAAACTGTAACTGACGTGTCAGCCTACATGGTTTGGGTGCTATGCCGCAGCGACTCTCACGATGGGCTAAAAACAAGGGCCAATGAAAAAAACCACCATTCTAGTGAATACCCCTATCTGTCTAATGCTAAGAGCTTATCTACTAGTCACATGAAGCGCAAAGAAAAGCTCCTTATTCCAGAATTTATTCAGGTAAAACTCTGTGGCATGGTTAATGCTGCTTTGCATCGTCAGTCGCGGATCGGCTTTTGGACCAAAACGCGGGATGAGATGGACGGGTGCCACAATCTGAGTTATTGGGATGACATCGCCAATCCGGTCATTATTCGCTCGTCGAGCACGCCTGAGAATATACATACCCGTAGAATCGTCGAGAGTCACAACATCCAAACATTCAACATATGCAAGATATGATTTGGAATATGAGAGTGTCGTGATGGGACGAAAAATCAAGCGAAGGTGAGCAACAAAGTGTCCTGCGTTTGTCAACATCAGTAGCATGACGGTATAGACATAAAAACATACCATCCAGTCCACTTTTTGGCCACTTGTGCGTGTTGCCTGAACTAACGATGACAGAGTCATATCGGCCGTATGGCCAGGCACTGGAGGGTGGTTGAGCATGTAGCGTTTGCGCGGGCTCAAGCTGTGCAGGGTCGTGAAAAGATTTTGATTGTGTCCGTATCTTGCACCATACTTGAATGCGTTCAAAGGGGAGGGGGCAGCCAGGGTGGGCATGGCGCCTCCCACCAACAGCGAAGTGATCAACATGCGCATCAACCTGGTCAAGATAATCGGAGACTGCGGGACGGAGGTCAGGAAGAGAGAAGTTTTCAGCAGCCTTATCCACTGTCATTTTCGTGTGCGTGGGGTCATAGCTGAGATGGTAAGCGTTAATTGAGGTGGAGAATGTTCGATAGGGACGGGGAGCTTGAGGATGAACACCATTAATGAGGTCGCGCGCGCAAGCAAAGTAGTCCTTGACAAAATGCTGGACAAGACCACCCTCGTTGTCTTCGTCCCTTTCGTGGTCCTCCTGTGCACGCATCTGGAGTGCGAGGTCAAAACGCTCCACCTTATCACGACGATCGAGGGTGGCGACACACTTGCGCGTCGTAGTCGTGATTGTTCCCTGCCCTCGCTGGCTCCTTCACAACCTTGATGTGCGCATGTTCAGTGGGGTCTGCAGACCACTGCATGACAGCGCCGTGTGAACAAATACTGGGCACTACCCCCTGCAGCAGCTCGAGCTTTGGAATCGCCCATGGCTTATCCCCACCCCCTTTCCCCCGCCGAGCACCAGCGTCAACGATAGACTGTTTGAACCGATGAAAGACTTTAAGACAGCGGTCTAAATCTACCACTTGCTTGTCGGTGAAATGCGGGGCTTGAGCGAGGTATCTAAACTCCATGAGGGCCCGAATAGCAGATATGAAGTCGGCAGGGGCAGCACCAGCAATCACGCCAACGATATACCGTTGAACGTTGCGATGGTCTCGCCCGGTGGCTTGCTTCAAAGCGGAGATTCCCTCCTTGAATGCACGGTAACCAGTGCACACCTGGAGGAGCGCAAAACGAAAATCAATTTCCTGCGAGCCAACCACTGTTGTGCACCAGAGACGATCATGGTCCCAGAACATTTTATGGAGATGGTGAAGTAGTTCTGGAGTGAGGAAGGAGGAAGGATTTGCGGTAAGCCAATTCCTCCAGAATGGCAAGTCAACACCGTTTAGATTGTAGCGTTTGCATGCCTCGAAGAACGGGATGAGATCGGAAGGTGAGATAGATGTTATAATCGCTGCAATGTTGGCAAGGGTTGATGATCCATCACGAGGAGGGTGTCGGATTGGGTCTCCAAAGTCTTCACGGGTAGCCATAGTGACAGGCGATGAGTTCATAGTGGCGCATGCAATTACAAGTTCCTCCGGAGTATCTGCGACATAAGCAACGAGGGGGGTGAAGCAATACCTGCTAAAACCCCGTGGATCACTCATCATAACGCCAAGACGGGCAGCCTGCTTCAATGGCTCAACAACGAGGTCGATACATTGGTGAAGTAAACGGTCTGCGAGAACCCCATGCATGCGCTTGTTCCTGTGCAAGAACTTTGCAACAGGAAGCAAAGCAAGTGGGATATATGCATGTAAGGGGCCTTTGGCACGCACTCCAGGATCAATATTGGCGAGACTAACAAGAAGTGGATGCGCGTAACGGTTGCCAGCGATGTTGCTGACCTTGGTCTTGTCCGAGGAGAGGACTACACCAAGGAGGGATGCACCTTCAGGTAGGTCTTTCTGTGGTCTTGTTAGTTATACAGAACGAGGAATCAAGACACGAGACCTTACCTGAAGGTTCCAAGCATGATCGCCTGTCATGAAACCATGATAAACTCGAACCGCACGTTCGGCAGACTCGTAAACCTTGCATGGGATGAAATCAAAGCTGGCGGCCAACAGTGGGTGACTGAGAAGTGACTGCAAGCACTCGATTGCGTCCCGATAAAATATTTGAAGGGTTTTTGTCATTGGAAACTCGGTAGTGATTTTTTGATACTTCCATTGAGGGGGAGCTGGGAGCAATTCAACACGTCCTCGGAGTTCTCGCGAAGAGCGAAATGACAACGGGAGTGTTTTGGTCTGAACATAAGTTTAGACGAAGAAATTTAGAGGATAGATGAACTCACAAATTCAAGATTGAGGTACTCGTCGATTTCGGCCATGCTAAGATCGGACCGAAGAATATACGATGCCATCTCCCAGTCCGGTTTGCTAGCGAAAGGAAAGTATTGGTTTTGCTCCCTCTCTGCAGCATATTCATCCTCGTTGAATTGGTCCATGAAAGTCTTCCCAACACCCCACGTCTTGCCTGCACCATCATAAAACTCCACTTCTTCACCGTAATCTGCCTGTGAGCCTGAAGACCCATACTCCGCTCCAGTGTCTGCATCAACTCCATGGTCCATATACTCCGGGTCAAAGGTCGGGTCCGTGTCGTTGTGGAGAGGAAATTGAGGACTTGGAGCTTGTGCTGGTCTTAAGATGCGAACTAGGTTACCATCCCACTTGTAACAGTGAGAAGAAGGCTGATTCAGGTGTTGCAGAAAGCGTCCCTCATTCTTAAAACGCTTGCTGCAGGAGGGGCAGCGCATATCGAAGGTGCGAAGTAAGTCATTGAACTCATTTGGATTCAATATTGTCCCGGCAATTTCCGGGACGACGCAAACTGTAACTACAATGTCGAAGTGTCGTTCAAGCTATGCCTCACCATCTCAATCATCTCAATCCCCGTATTCGCTATGTCGAGGCCAACAAATCTCAGATTCTGTAACTCCTTCCGACATCTCAGATGATACATCTGACTCCTCGGAAGTGTATAATATGGTGAGTTATGGGCTGGATTCTAACACTTGCCTTGAATCAGTTTTATCTACAGTACATACGCCGCTACCCAAATGAACCATTTGACGCTTACATGGACTCAATGCCGGAGACTTCAGAGGAAGCATCTTACCTGCTCGAGATGGCACGAGCTGATCTCGAAGTTCGACGTCTCGAGAAGGACCTTGCTGAGCGGCTTCTTCATCAATTTCGCATGCGCAAACACCACCTACGACTTCGAGCGAAGAGGGCAAAGAGAAATTTTGGAGATGCGGAAGCTAATGTAGGGCGCACACGCGCTCTCGTGGTGAGGTGCGGGTTTGTCTGCTCAGAGCGGTCACTTTGGTCTCCTCGTCCAAAATCCACCATCAAGTCATGTAAGCGAATTCGTTCTTAAAATCGGTATGCAGTCGCTGATGAGTACAGCTGATTAGAATATCTGTCTGTTGGATGTTGCATTGTGACCATAGCCTTGTACTGTGTACATGATTGTCAATACATATACGCATTGCACATTTTATATTTTAGCTATCTGTTGAAGTACTTTATTAAATGAATATAAGTTGTCACGCTGTGAAATGCATTCTCCGAGATCTCGTGTTTTGATGAAGACCAGCAAGATATTGATATTAATCTATAATTTACATCACATTTTATCGCCTGACCCTGTGCACTGTGCGAGACTGTGCCGCACTGTCACTCTGTGCGCTCTGTGCGCTGTACCACTGTGGGGCTGTGCTAGTTGTGTCGCTGTGGGAATCTTGTATCCAAAACCGGTAGTTTGCTGATGAATTGTCCGTCCGTTTTTTTGAGTTGTCTGTCCTTACATTGATACTAACTGGCGGTTTAAATTTAGGATGCTTTTTCACTGGGTTTTTATACCCTGGTTACAGCGGGAGTTAGACGCTTACCAGGACCGAGTGAATAACACTTGAAAACGGCGGGACTGAAACAAGATCCTTCCCCATGGTGCACCAGACATCATCTACCAATCGCCCAAGAACTTTGGTGTCTTAGACTTTAAAGTAAGTAATACCGTCCATGCTTGTTCTGCATGTTCTTACCTTTTGTTTGTTTGTCAGATCCAAGTCGAATGGGAAGCCTTAGACCACGTCCGTGATCTCTACATCGATCCCTCCCATATTGTCTTCGACCTCGTTCCAAAGCCATTCAGCGAGTTCATGGAACATTGCTATACAGAACTTGGACACCCATTAGTTACACGGCAGACCACTTGGGATGTCTACCTGCGCTTACTCACCATAGTGGAGGCCAATGACGAGATGATACCACGCCACATTGAGTTGTTAGATGAGGCAGAGGAAGAATTAACCACTTTGCCGCTTATAGAGAACCTTCAAGAGTTGCCCTATCGCGAAGATGGCAACGGTGCCTACTACATGGGTGGGGTGGGTGGCGGTCTTGGTCTTGGTATGCCCGTTTTTTGACACAAATACAAGGGAACTAATATCTATTGTAGTTGACCAGCATTTGCATGAGCTGGAGAGTCTTGCCCGTGATGATGAGCCTGACATCACACTTGGCATTGACAAAAGTGTTGTGGGACTGGACCATGCAGGTTTGGTTGTGTGGGATTTCTCAGATGACGATAACTCGGACGTGCCGGACGAATGGTAACTTGCATTGGTTGATTTCTGTAAGGCTTGGTTGTAACAGTATACTACGAACGGCAATCTTGATTTCCACTTGGTTGATGGCACATAATATTATTGCATTGTTTGTTTCTTATTAGCGATAGCGGTATCCGCGGTCCCGCAGAAGCCATGGCCGTATATGGTAATTTTTGCTTAAAATTTGAGCACGAGTGTCCGGCTTTCCATACAAAACAACGTTTATCTCGTTTCTCGAGGGCTACGGCGAATTCTAATACAACCCCTGCGTGGCGCATGCCTTTGACATACCGTGGATTATTTGTGCAGATTATTATAGCCCAAGTGGATTAATTGTGACGCAGCGATCATCGCTAGTTCTTAGGATACTAGTTGGTATGCCCTTGAGAGGGCACACTGATTCAGTTGACTCGGTCTCGTTTTCGCCGGACGGTACTACTGGCATCGTCACTGGTTCTTCGTTCAAGGGAGATGCAACGGTAGCGCTGTCCAATAGTCGCGTGTGTCCACCAATATCTGTTTCGTTTATTTCATCTCATTTCTGTCGAGTTCTTAACTTCCCTCATCTACCTATTATTTCTACAGTCGCTTGATGTCGCCATCGGCCGTGTACTTTGCTACCCGTTCTCTATCCCTGTTTCCCCCGCTTCCGCGTTTGCCTGATACTCGCTGTTCCTTGGGCCTTGCATACCGTCATTAGTCGTAGGGTTACATTATTGTTGTTTGAACCACCAAAATTCAGACTTTGATGCTGCCATTTTGTTTAGATGCACTAGTATTCTCTGCCGTTGTCCTTGAACTTCAACACGCTAAATAGTGAACGTCACAATGAACTTTGTGTTATCATCTCCCTTAATCTCTGCGCTTTCATAGCAAGTTCATCCAAGTACTATCCAAGGGATTTTCCTATCCTCACAACCGATTTCTGTGATCGGATATCCCAGACATCAAGGCAGTCCCCGGTATCTAACTTCACTGCGAGCTTCTTCAAATCAGTAGAGAATCGAACCGCACGCACCCAACCACCATCCCCGGACGGACCACTGGAGCCACCAGTTTCAAGCTGCCACACCAGCAGCGACAACCTATCGACCATCACTTGATACCGCTGGATATGAGCGGAGTAGCAGCCGTAGCTTGGTCAGCCACTTAGCGTCTTGCGGGCTTTGTCGTAGCGTAGTGCTCTCCACCACTTCTTGCCTCGCTCGCTACGCGCAGGCATTGTCGCGGATGCACCGCTCCACCGCCACTGTCAACACCTTCTCCTCAAAAACACCCCGCCCTTCCTTAATCTCCTTGCCCGCTTTCAGAGCCCATTGCCGAGTGGCCTTGTCCCGAGATCCGCTGATCATTCGTTGGCCGTATGGAAAGTAGGAATTCGCTCTCCATGTTATTGATGTGTCAGAATCGATTTCGTAGCGGCTGCTTTCGTCGACGTGGAAGCCACCGCTGTCTCCGTGAGCGAAACCGTAAAATAGGCAAGGTATTCTGTGGATGCGTTGAATGGAGGTCTGTGTCAAACTGCTATCTGACTGACGGTGGCAGCGATTCGAAGATGGGTTGTCTGGTGAGGCCAAACATCAATTCATCCGTGCTGGAGATACAGATGAGAATTTGATGTTACCAGAGGTTCCGGTTACCAGCGACAAACTTAGGGACCGATGAACTTGATGAGCGATAAATTCCTGAATGTGGGTGAAGCTATTGGCCTTATGTGAGAGCACGTAACGGCGGACCAGGCATGCCGATCCCATCAGAGATGCGACTGCGCGTGCACTGTGGATGATGATCGTGTTGAACTGTATACATCGGTACTTCCTCATAGCGGACGCTGAACAGAAGGACATCGGTCGTTGCGTGCATCTGTGGTCGTTCAAGTTCCCTTGCAGCGAGTACATTCAAAGTGGGCTAAAATCTGAGAAAACAGGGCGGGACGAAACATGTAATTCATTGTGTTCACTGTACATGTAACATGTAATCGCGATATCCACGACGAAAGCGGTGAGAACGAGAGCACCATGAAAAACGATGCGTGTAAGGATGATATGAGCTGTGAGGCATGAACAAACAGCTGGAGGGAAAAGGCACCGGGTAAGAGTTAAGCGAAAGGAGAATGGAATTGAGGTAATGCGAAGAGTAGGAGAGGTTCCGAACGATAGGTGATATTGGACGCCGGTGCACCAGGTTAACACAACGGGCATCCTCGTCAAGTAGCTCTTCGATCGTGGATTTCTGGAGACTCGACGGGAAGAGTCTAAGGACTACAATTGAGTCCCATAACTCTGCATTGAACTCGTGATAAATGTGTGACGATGTGAATCTTTGTATATGGGACTAGGAGAAACAGACTGTGACTCACGAAGTGGTCGGAGGGTGTTATGATGAACCTCTGAAAAACTGTCCATGAGTGATTGTCAAGGTTGCGGAAGGAAATTATGGAAGCATGCGGGAAACCCCCAAAGTGGGTGTATTGTGCATCATTTGTATCCTTGCAGTGGGAGACGATTTAGCAGATGGCTGTAAATGGTATGAAAAAAGGGCCTACCGAATGATCGCAGTTCCAGACCCCTTCCATAGCTCTGTATCCTGGAGAAGTACTAAAGACGAAGAGAAGAGCAGAGCACCTCATTGTATCGCCGGAAGAGATCTTAGCCAACACTCCACCTAGCCTCAGTACTTTATAGGTGCGTCAGAGATGACCTGCATAGATCCTAGATTGAGGAAAGCACATCGGTAACTGTATCAGCTTGGCTCATTTTTTGAGTGACTCAAAAGTTTGCTTCTCAGACGCAGCTCAGACGATAGGATAATGCGCCGACGAAGGCATGCACTTCTTTCGAATACCAACAAGCGTGGACAAAGCGTTGGCTGATTCTGGTAAGACGCAACGGCAGCGCACATTAACTTAGGGATCTCACTTGGAATGATACACAGCGACATACCTGAGGACTCTATTTTTTCTTCGAACATAAGGTGGAATGAACAGGGAGCCGACCTGTCACATTTGTCTGGATGTCTTGACAGACTGACACATTGAGATGACGAGTGCGTCAACGAGTGCCTTCAGGCAGATGTCAGAACGAACGCACGATGTTACAAATGATACAAGACATCAAAACAAACCAACAGAAACAATGGCGCTCGCAGAACTGGTCCCGAAGAGATACGAAAGATGGAATAGATTTTCACAGATTGGGAAAAGCTTTGGGGATTGATGACGACGCGGAAAGGTTGGCAGGACCCGAATCGTTCAAGGTAGGCCTGATCTGCATCAGGACTTCAATAGCATAATCCGCGAATGAAAAAGACCCACCTCGCTAACATGCAAATGAAGCCAGATGTCATACTGCATTTTGCTGGCCATCCCTCGCTAATGCCGATCTGTCTGGTCTGGCGCCAGCTCGTTCTGAGCCTAAATTGGTACCACACCATGACTGGGATGATCAGAGTTTGAGTTAATGGACATGCACAGTGATGTACCCACCTACAACCTAGCTATTTCATGGCCTATGACAAAGGAATGTGAAGTCCCATGCACTGAACAGTAGATAGACATGACACAACTGAAGGGAGTTAAAGAAACAGGAAGTACTTAAATCGCGAGTGAGCACACATAAATGCACTTGAGCGTTTCCACCTTAACCCAACAGATGGCGGCCGTACAAGAGTAAAGGGGCGTGCTTGAGCTTGGTCTGGGAGAAAACCGGGAGAATGGGCACAGCTTAGACGCATGGTAAACTTTGGACCTTGTCTTCGCCGCCTTCTCGAACATGTTCGAGTTATAAAACACATCTACTGATTCTACCTCCCCACCACTCAGATTCTACAAAATGCCTTCCTGCTCTGCGATGCTTCGTAGTCCCGCGAGATGCACCAACCTCATTTATCATCTTTTGGGCGACAACTTGTCTGTGATCACGCTCGAGCGAGGTGTAGCTAATGGATATAGAGGCAGTGAGATATGCCTAATGCGCTGCTTTAATGAAACAGTCGATGTGATACTTACTTACTCCCAGAACACACATTTCTCGCTTCCAACACACCTCTAACATCATGCCCATCAGCGCTTGCACTATCCAAAATACTCCTCACAACGACGTCCCAGTAATACGTGAGCCAACCGACAAAGTCAGCATGCGTCGGAAACGTGAGTGACGATGGTTGAGGTTGTGTAGGACCAGAATAAGTGGCTGTGGGTTGGGGGTAGGAGCCCTGGAGAGTGCTGGATGCGTGTTTTGGATGGTGCGGAGGTTGTCAAGGATTCAGTCAAGTGATACTAGGCGGATGAGGGAGTGTGTTGCTTATCGCGTGAGGGAAGGAACCAATACGGTTGTGGCGCGCTTGCAATTTGTCATGTTGTATGATATCCTTGCAAGTTCGGTGCTGTTCGCCCTCCATAGCTCGAGAAGTTCAAGAAATTTAGTCGTCCTATATGTGTGGACTCTGTCATATACACCAAGACGTGGCTTGCGCGTATCCGTCATCATCGACATCGTCACCAACCAAGCAAACTGACTCACCTACCTGTGCGTCGGCAGCGTCCTCATCGTAAGACTTGGGATCCGTAGGTCAACATATCACACGCGTGGTAGAGTACACCTGCCTTGAGGACTTCTTCCGGAGGATCAGTGCCTTGATAAGCATTGTTCTTGAAAGACTTTGGGAGAAAAAGGACATGCAGAATAGATTTCGTAGCGATGTCGTGGAT